TTTCGCCCGACCAGTTTTTGCAACTATTACGTCTGACCAATAATGATGTTTTCTGTGTTTTCTACCTCATTTGAAACTAATATTTTTTCACAAGAAATCTTTCACAAGAAATTCTAATTTGATTCAACGTTTAGGGTAACTGCTTTCAAATACCGCAAAAAGCCCAAGTTATCACCCATTCAAAGTTCTATAAGAAAAAGCCTTCTTTTGACAAATTTTTTTAAGACTTCCGACCTTTAGAAAGTTACCATTAAATCAAAATATTTTTCGAAATAATATATCTAGTTTTTTTGGATAAATACTGATTAGCTTAACATTTTTTTATTCCATTATTCTATCAATCTTCCGAAACAGAAGCCTTCGTAACGCATAATAAACACGGTAGTGTTCAATGATTCAAATAAAACATTAAACCATTTGGCTTCTGATACTGACTGCCAATTTTTTTGGCTAAATTTTGATAAAATTTTTTTCCTGATTTATTGTTCTGTTTATGGTCAAAATTTCCAAAAAATTTTATACATTTATTTTACAAAGTCCCAGAAAATACACTTTTGGATTTCCATTTAGTGATGGGAACAAACAGTTGCATCTTTATTGCTTCAAACCAAATATTCGGCCCAAAAATGAAGCGCTTTTACCACCATAAAATTTCAGCATTTTTTTGAAATTTTTTTGCGATATTTTAATCTACATTTTTCTATTATTTAACTAAACGCTCACTGTTGGCTACTGTACAAATTTTTTATAGAACAACAATATGTAAAATATAATAAAACAGCAACAATTTTAACAGAAAAGTTGAAAATAATTATTAGAAGTTTTAGAAGAATATAGTATCAAACATAACTGCTTTTTTCAATCTAATTTACTTTAGTGAAACCTATTGTAAAAATGAAAGCTCGTTCAATTCTTATAACACAGCATTCTTCAATGGCACTTAACTGTGCTTACACAGTTATTTAAATATAAAGTTTTTTAGGGTCTACAATATGACTTTATCAGGGTACTCAGACACGTTTGGCATTCTGTACATGATTATCGGAATTTTTGGTTCAGTATGTAATCTGGCAACTGCTTTAATTATAATGCGTTATCGCATCTATCGACTTTCTGCCTATACACTTATGGCTAATATTGCAATAGCTGATACAGTGATCCTTATTCTTGCGGGTTTTATTTGTGGTTCTGTCCTTTTGCAAGCACCTCGGTCTCAGTACGTTGCCGTCAACAGTTTAGGTCCTTGCTTTACTACTTCGGACAACGCAAATTCGACAAAACCTGAAAACCAGACTAAATTGCTGTTCGTAGAATATCCGCGAATGTCACAATATGACAGCATGCTGGCAGGATCATCTAGTCTTTCTGAAACCGATGCAGTTGTTTGGAAAAGTAGATTTAACGTAGTGCTCTCTTTCTGCGGTATTGCTGCCTGGATCACGAATGGTTTTAGTTATGCTTTTCTTGGCCTTAATCGTTGTGTCGCAATATGCTTCTTTCACACAAAGGCTCGGGTTCTAAACACAGTTAGAAACGCTATTGTTGGGTCATCTATTGCATGGATAATTGGAATCATTGTTGGTTAGTGTTGTTGGATACCGCTACAGCAGCACCTGTTTAATTGCCTTTTAGAAGCCCATCACAAAAAGTTTCAGTTTTTCTTATATTTTCGATGCTAAGAGATTGCCAAATTATAACTGTCAGACTTCGTTTTGAACTTGTTATGAGCCAATTCATTGTCTGATATTTTAGCTGCTACTGCTACATTTCCTGAACCACTCCTCAGCGTCCGCAAAGATTTATGGACAATAAGTTTGGTGCCAACAGAATGGAAGAAACAAGGTAACGTTTTAAAGTTGCAACATCAGTAATAATTTTTTGAGCAGTTAGGTTTAATCACTGTCAAAGCGGCAGTTGAATTTCTTTAAAAGTTGCTACATGAAATTTTGAGATTAAAAGATTGTTGCTATATTTACAGATAAATGTTTCACATTTTTAGTGTACATTTTAATATTCGCCATAATTTTTAATGGGTTAAGTATTATTGTTCAACTACTGTGCTCAACGCTCGTACTAACAAAAATTCGAGCTGTGAAAAAGAAAATCAACGCGAATGCAATGAAAAAACCAAATACTTTTCGTTTTATTAGGCAGGTAAGTGTTTTTTCCTCACCGTTTGCGTTAAAATGTTGATAATAATGCAAAAATTCACTAAAGCTGTTTGAAAAATGTCGTTACAAAATTAGACTGTTCTTTTTATTCCTGATATTTCAGGCAGAACTTACGCTACAGTTCTTTTATCCTTCGGTAGTCTGCACTACAGCAACATTAGTTTACCTAGCCAAACCATTTATGGTATCATCAATGCCACAGTGGCTCTTAATACTGAAACACGTGGTAGGTAGATGACAACTTCATACAATTTTCTGAAAGGGGGCAGAAGTAGAACCGACGTATATCTCAAACAGTATGAAATAAGAACCAAAAAGTTAAATAAAATTTAATTTTGTTCAGATATGGCTGTTGGGACATTCTTGTAATCCCTTGATTTATGCTTATTACAACGAGTGCATGCGAGAATCATACCGCAGCTGGCTGACCTGTGTTCCTCTTCGGATGCACTTCAAAAGATCACCTGTACCAAGGTGACAAATTCTTTATAATTTAGATCTATTCCTATACAAAAATGGTTGTTTAAGGCAAGCATCTAAAGAAGTACTCCCCAATAATTTGTTATAAACGCATAGTATTATCTATTTTGAGGACTTTTTTTTAACAGTGACGAAAAAAAATTTAGACCTTCTGTCGATCTGACTGGCCATTTGAGGCGAACTTCACACATACATACCAAGAACAGTTTGGTCCGAAGCAGTTTACAAGTGCAGAGTCGTAACTTTGAACAGCTATGCCAGTTTATGACAAAAATCAACCTAAGTTCTGAGACGCATGAAGGGTGGATTGACGACAGCAATGAAATGGAAGACGAGATATGAAGTTGACATGAAGTTTCAAACCCGGATTATATATGAAGAAACTTCTACAGTAAATTTGATTATTGCATCACGTGTGCAGCAGTTTCTGATAATCGTTAAGCATTTTCTCAATGGTTCCATTCTAAAAACTGTTACCTATCCGACCAAAAATGTGAACTTCAACAATTTGTATATCCCAAAAAATTTAAGGTGTAAATGGCTTTCTAACTCATAACATAGTAGGTACCTCCTTTCTTTTAAAATTGTATCACACCAAGTTTCTTATTTAACCTTTCCCTTCTTCCTCGTAATCTGTTTTAACTCTTAGCTAGAATGTGTCAAAAGTTTTTTGTTGGGCTTGCTAATATAATGTTGCATTGTTTAAGAAGATATCTGGAGTTTTACATTATTCTTGAAAACTAATTGAAACTCCACCTCCAGTCCTTCGAAGACTTCAGATTATATCAGCATCTGCTTTGTCTGCAGCTTCTTCCAAATTACGCGTAAGCTATTGATAGGAAATTAGAAGTACGTTAGAAGTAAAACATAAATCAAAAATCTTGCTGCAGACAATTTCCAGTGTCTTCCAATCATTTACTTTTTGATCGCACTTGTCTGCAAGTGCACCACAGCTTATAGGAATCTTGTATAAAGTTCCTGTAGGGTAGATATTTTTGATATTAGTTTTACTGTTTAGCCTTCTGTAGTTGACTTGATCATAGCCCACTCTGATCCATAACAGAAAGGAGAGAGTAGAACTGAAAATTTTTTTTTAAGCGGTACTTCCTACGGTGATGATGTATTTCTAAAAAGTGACAAAAGTGAGCTCAAAAGACATCCACAAAAACTTGCTAATATTTCAGAAACACTTTCCTGTCATTTTTTGAACTAGCCGTTCCTTTGATTTCAAATTTAAGATTCCATATAACAAAAATTTACAGAGGGGGATTTGAAAAACTGAAGAAGCAGTTGAAAGTCATAAAAGGTGAAAATAAGCTCAAATTTTTGACATTTTCTGTGGGTTATGAAATTAAGATGCCCTAAAAAATATAACTTTAACAACAAAAAAATAATTGCTATTCAGGTGCAGTATTCTTTACTGTTGATTTCGCAATTTCCTTTTGTCGGAGACATTGCTGCAGTCTTTACTTTCTTTTGTATTTTAATCTTCTCAACTTCACAACTTCAAAAAATAATTTACAGAAATTGTTTATTCAATTTATCTGTTTCTTATAAAAAATTATAATTTGAAAAAACTTCTGCAATAGCCGTGGGCTCCAGACACAAATTATAGTTTCTGTACCGTTAGTTCCTGTTCAGCTTTCTCCTTATGCCTCTATCAATTCCTTACCGAGAGGTTCTGAAATACCTATTAGAAAAAACTTACTGACGAAAGCAGTGGACAATGTCAGAGACCTGTAAAGTCACTGTTATTTTCAATTGCTAAAATCTATCGGAATATGATTTTGATTGGCTCCCACTATTCTTTATGTAGTTTCTTTTGCAACTTTTTTCTTTTGGTTTTGCAAAGTCAGAAGACTGGAACGGAAAGTTTGCTCATTATTCAAGGAAACTGAATTAAAGCAAGGTACGATCTTCTACACACGTTTCATTTTTCTAGTTCCATTCTTATTCTCCCTCCCAACATACAGAACGTGCTTGCAAGCCTACTTTCTAGAGCGGGATCTGCGACAGCCTCTTCCTAAATAGTGCCCTGCGTAGAGAACACCAAGTGTGCTTTGAAAGTAAACGAAAGAGCTTCTGCACAAGAACTCGAAGGCATGGTTCTTGTAAGAAATCAAGTGGTTTCTGAAGCCGAAAGTTGAAGAATGCTTACATGCAGTTCTGGAGGCCACGTAACTGTTTGAAGGATTGCTTGGAGTTGCGGAATGCTCTTTTCGCCCATATTTAGATTCATGCCAGAAAGACTCGATAGTATTTATACAAACACCATGTTCCAGATTAAATTTTGAAAAGGAATTTAGTAACAGATCTTCTGAAAACTTCTTCTTAAAATTTGGTTTAGTTTCCTAAGTTTTGTAAGAAATTTAGGAAATAAAGTCACTTAAATTCTGTAGAAAATTAGGAACCATAAATATTAAGAAAGTTAAGGAATCGAAGAGCGATTTTCTCCAAATTATATTCATAGCATTTACAAGAAGATTCATTAGGTACTGTCACTTATTACCTGCAACCATTACAACTTAGAAAGTCGATGGCACTATCAAACTCGAACAGAGCCAGCCTGCTTCGTTAATGAAGCCGCCAACAAATGTAATACTATCAAAAGATACTATCGTTTCGAAACTGGTTCGATTTTTTAGACAAGGTGTGCGCTTCAAAAAATAGTATAAGATGAGCTTTAGACAAGGTGTGCGCTTCAAAATATAGTATAAGATGAGCAGCATCAATATTTGGTTGAAGAAGTTTGTGATGCAACTTGTAGTAGGTAAGGTCGCTCATATGTGGTTGCTCTCATCCGATAGATCAGAATCGCCGCCGTCTTCCTTTTCTGAAGTGACTGAAGTGACTGCAAATTACCAACTGTCAATGACATTTAAAGATCACAAACTGAAAGAAGTGGCAGGAATTTGGAAAAATTTAGAAAGTCAAAAAAAAACTTTCTTTATTTGAGTTTTATACAGATCACCCTTGCCTTCTTGCCAGGTCTCGGCATAAGCGAATATCATTAACAAAGAAGCAGTTTTAATTGGCATTGCAATGAAATTTCAAAACTTCTCAAATCAGTTTTATTTGTTTAAAACCAGGCATTTAAAACCAATTCCAAAACTGATGCCACTGTTTGTGCACTAAGATAGAATCCTAATTTTCATCATTACTTTACCTTAACCTTCTGCTCGGGGACAAATGAAATAGACGACTTTCACGGTAACTGCGTCAAACAGTTGCAAGAAAGCTTGTAGTCGCAAAGCGATTGGCTGTGGTAAAGTTGTTTTTGCAGTTACAACGTGATAACGTGGTTAGTCGATACCAAAGCGTTCAAACTTGTTTAAAAACAGTTTTTAGAAAACAGGCTTCAAACTCATGGTGAACTCGGCTTATATCAAATCTCACTGTGTAATTTTTTAAACACACCCATAGCCCTTTTTGAACTGAACTTCCGAAGAAGAAATTACGGTTTTTAGATAAAACAAGAGAACTGTCACAATCCCCCTCTATCCACCCAGTGACCGTCGGGTACTAACCATTTTGAATAGAAGACCTTTTGAATAACAGCCCTGACAAGACCTTTCTTCTGAAATGAGTGCCAAATGACCAGCCCTGATGTGATTTGGAACCTTTTGATGTCGTCTTGGGCTGTTTAGTTCCTTCAGAAACTCCGTGTCTGTTCCAAATTCCCTTCAATTTTTCAGTTATTTTACAAGTGCTGTACTCATCATTAAACATCTAAATTAATAAATGTAAATTAATTTTTAAAGGATTCCGTCACTGGGCTTTTTTTCTCTCCCGTTCACTAACAACCTATACGATGTAAATAGACGTAAACGTGCTATCCCTTACATGTACTTTAAGAATGTTTTGCTTCCTCTGTTCCTTAGTTCCTACGTGAAAAAAGACGGCGTTTCCTCTATATAGTTGGTTTCCACAAACGAGTGATTAAATCTCAAAAATTAAAAAAAAAATACTAAAAGAGACTCTTCAAACTGTTACGAAACAAGTGGACTAGCTGCAAGAAACAAAAACAATTGGTGGAAAAAAGCGCTGATTTTAGCAAGTACTTGAAAAATACGCATTGAACACCACAAGGCAAACACGAATTTTCTTAAAATCCAGAAGAATACCCCTCAGAATTCAACAGATTACGTCATAACAACTACCACTACCAAAACTGCAGTACGCAGCATTTTTATAGCCACACTGCTAGGACAGTCAACGGAACAAAGACAAGAAGCGGACCAAGAAAATACCGGAGAATGAACTTATTTTTGAGATTACAAGTGCAATTCCGTTGATCTTGATAAGCTTTTACTCTTTACTGAAGCTAAACAACAAAAAACTATATCTCATATTGCAACAAGCAAAATCAGCAAAATCTTCTTCAGGCTGTTGCTTGCCGCAGTTTATTGACTTTTTGTTTCCGAAGAACGAGATTGCAACAACAACCAGTATAATCACAAAAAATTGCAGACTATCAAAATGAATCCGACTACTTCCAAAGTTCCTTTGTCAGACGATGACAGCAACCACACACTAGTCGCCCGCCAGTTATCAATTGTTAAACTTTTAAAGCAGGTCGTGAATGGGTTGCAGATTGCTTTAAGAAAGGTGAGTGCCACAGGAAGTACCGCCTGTTGTTTTTTATATAAAGGCGGATTGCTGGATTAAAATCCGTTTTATTACTGAAATCAATCGCTGAGCCCTCATTTCATTGCAAATTTCCACTGATATATCACATAAAAAACCATGGAAAATCGCAGAAAGGCTTGATCCTACAATACATGCACATATGAGAACTAAGGACTTGAGAGTCAAGCTGAAGAACCGCACCTGATGTGTTCAGCCTCCTGACTGTCACTACATAAAACAAAGTTTTCGGCCGTAAATCAACACCTTTCCATCTTCGCAGTTCATAGCTTAGAGGGCTCTTAGTCAGAATAGAATCCCAAACATCCAGGCAGATAAAACACAACAAAAGAACTTCTTCATATAAGATTTCCAGAGTCAGGTATGAACATTTTTTCAGAACAATGAAGAAGCAACAAACTGTGGACAAAAAATTTTTCATCAAAAACAAAAACCTCCGTATCACTAACTTGTCAGTTTGTATTTGACAGTCTGTACCTGACAAATGCACGATTCAGACCAAATAAACCACTGCAAGAACTTTACTCCAGCGCTGTATAGCAAGTCAACTGAATTCTTTAAATGCACCATCCGCCTCCATGTTCATTAACCCCCAACGCCAACTCAAAAAACCTTTACACATACGTATTATTCACTACACCTGTCCTACACTGTGCCACAGGAATCAAGTGCCGCTCCTGCAGTGATCATTAGCCCTGCAACATCTGTATGTAGTAGGCGTACCAACCTACAATTTGACTTGAAGCAACTAATAACGTCTCTATGTATGCACGGTTGGTGATCGCCAAACGGCAACCATTACGGTTACCTTCGCGGTTCCTCTTTCCACTACTGTGCACGCATCTGTTGGCAGCGTTTCAATACTGCCTTTTTGGCGTTAACCTCTGACGTCACTGGCAGAAAAAGAAATTTTGGCGCACTTTGTAAATAGTCTGGTAGAAACCTGAAGGTTTCATCTGTTTTTTAAAGGTCCGTTATTCTTCTGGTCTGTAGACTCCAGCAGTTTTGCAGTTGCTTACTTCTTACGCTAGAGAAGTGTTTATTTTATTTATCACAGTGTCGTTAAACTCAAATTTTTATGTACGGAAATGTTTGTTCTGTGGCTGTATATCGTGTGACGTCTAGTAGCTGCTGTTAAAATGTGTCATTTGGAATATGTTTCATTGCCGTTTCTTTTGCTTTTTCAGTGTTTGCAAACCTCTGTAAGGAGTTAATGGCAAATACTTGTACGCTTCTGTTAGGTCTTCTTGTTTTACATGTGATCTTCGACCAGTGTTTTATTTGATTTTTGTTTTATTAAGTTGGATTTTTTGGCTTTTAAATGTATAAAAATAAACATATATAAATAAGTATGAATGTATGTATATGTGTAAATAATGTGATATAACGTAGTGGAGTGTAATGTTATACTGTTTTTTAGTTTCACAGAATGTTAATGCCAAGTTCGCAGCTACGTGACTTAGACCTGGTAAAATGGTTAGACAATAAACTTGGTGACAGTAATGAACTTTGGAGTGGTCGTCAAGCTGCCTCGCTTCTTTCACGAGAGATGTTGGTGGAGTTAGAAACTTGCTTTCAAGCCTTAGAATCTCACGTCAAATTAAAGATCGTGCTGGCTATTCCCCATCTTTCTTACCGGTTAATGACAATGGTAACTGATATGAATATTACTTTTTGAATTAATCTTTTTTCACGTTGTTTTGTCTTCAGTGGAACTGTTGAAGCGGATTTTTCTCTGGATAAAAAAATGTTTTTTTTAGATCACTTTTACACTTAGGTAGGTTTGAAAGACTTGGTAGTTCTACATTCCAGATTGTCAGTCACGTGTACTGGTGAAATTTTCATATGAATTTTTTTATTCTTAGTGGCGTGTCCCATTGCAAAATCTTTTGGCGCTGGCAAGGAGAGATGCTGACGACTGGATTGAAACTGTTGCGGACATGTATAGAGATTATCCGACTCGCAGAAGTGTGAACCCAGTTCCGTCCAACCCTAATTCTTACTTTTGTAAAACTCTGGATGAACTGCGAAGAATAAGTACATTTTATGTATCATTTATTTGGTACACTGCTTAGATAGTGTGTTTTTGAAGCAAAATGGCTTGGTTTCATTGTTCGATCAGTATTCTTAGGATTCTAAAGCAAAGTGCTATTTAAAAGTGTCATTTAGCTTATAATCTTACTCAATCTCTCATTCCCCGGTTGAGGTTTAGATTTATTCATTTCCAACAAATTAAGCAACTTTTCAGTTCACTTTTTCAGAGGGTAACTTTTTCCATACGTTTTCTTGATTTTTTACATTGAAATTTCTCAAAACATACTGATTGTCCCTCACTTTTTTTGAAATATTAAGTTATTTACCAGTTTTTGTGAATTCAGCACTGAATGATGCTCATATCGCAAACATATCTTAGGTAAGATTAAACGTTGAAAGTAAAAAGAGTTTTCACTCTCTGTTGCAAAAAATTGTGGCTCAGAAGGCTGATGTCGTTTTCAGATATTATTTATTGAAGTAATTTTCACCTTGTTATTGTATTTTAGCATTTTGTAGGGTTACTTTGTCGCTGCAGAATTCAGTTTTGATTTGTTGTTGAATTTTTTCGAAATTAGTTACTCAATGACATTTCTAGCAGTGTTTGATAACGATTTTGTTTTTAATGAAGATTAAGATTTAACTGCACGTTTTCTTAATTTATGAATCTCTAAGTGCCTTCTCGAAAATCACCATTGTTTTATTCTCAAATTTTTAACCGATTACTGGTTGTTTTATCCTTATCACCTTCATTTTTGGTAATTTTTTCTTTCAAAGTAATGTTGCTTGGAAGGAGGGATGAAGTGAAGTGTGCTTTTATTTTTATTTGGTCATCTTGTCTTTTGAGGAGCGCTTTAGGCGGTGCTAGCTTTTTACCCGATTAAAACGCTTAATCAAAAAATTGAAAATTTGAACTTGAAATTAATAAGCCTAGCAATATAAAAATTTTCAAGTAATGGAATTAAGGGAGATTAGTATTACTTTAGTGCAAGATATTATTTTGTTGAAACATTTGACATTTTAGAATCTTGAGATATCGATGGCGGGGCAGCATCATCCATACTGCGGTCAGTTTAAAAGCGGAGAAAGAAGCAGAGGGCAAAAAAACAAAAGAGGGTTTTCTTCCCTGCTTTTACAAAAAAAGAAAAGTTTTTTGAATTTATTGGTGACATTTTACCTTTATTCTTTCTGCTTTTTGATTCGTCTACTTTACAGTATTGTGTGGGGGATTTAATCAAAGTTATACTGAAACGAGTCTTTGAATTTTCTTCTTGTAAAGACCTGTCCTTTAAAGAAGATATCAAAATGCAGTTTTTTTATTCTTCCAGTTACATTACAAAGGATAAGTTGTAGTAATGAAATAGTTGTAAAACCTGCAGGTTAGTTCAATATAGAAAGGAAAACCCAAAAAAAATTGCGTTGTAGTTACAAGTCAGTAGGAAGTCGTTAGACTAAATTTTGATTGTCCAGTAGTTAAACACGGACGTATGGTTAAGGCAGGCACTTGTTGAAAAGAATATGGAGGAAATATGTGGCGGCGGTGAAAACTTTGCAGTGCCTCAGCATGTTGCGAAAAATGCTACTGTTGTCTTTATAATGTGCACACCGTAATAACATAACGTCACCACCGATCTCAAATATTTCCTGTGCGAAATAATAATTGATAACTAGGATATATTGAACGAAGAAATAACTTCAGTTGTGAGGGGAGAGTTAAATTCGTTTTCGTATCTGCATTGCTTGCATTATTTCTTTAAGAATTTATTATTTGACAATGAAATCGTTATGGTTTTTGTGTTCCTTGACAAATGTGCTTTTTATGCTGATACCAATGAAGATAGTGGTTTGGTAACAAAAAAAAAAGCAGCTATATCCATTTTGAGCACGATCATAAATAAATAAGCACAAAATTTGGCACTAAAGTTGCTAGATAAATCATTTTCGTAAGTGGTTCTCGTTCTTTAAATGTGAACAAAAAATCCATTGGGTTATGAATTCACGATTCCGAATAGGCGGAGAAATCTTTGATGTTGAGATTCTGTGGAAACCTCTAATGAAAAAAAACTGATTTTTAGTTCACATCTGTGAACTACTCAGTAAATGTAGTGTATATAAACTGCACGAAGTAATGTGTTTTTTTACCATTAGTTCAAAAAACTAAAATTTTTAAAAAGTTTACCTCTGTGTTTACTGCTGAATTCATTTGGTCGTTTCAAGCGGTGTAGCAACATTTTTTTTGGTGTTTGTTGCTTAGGTCAGTATGTCACAAGTAGCCCTCAGACGTTTTTATCTTGTTACCTCAAAAGTTCATTTTATGGCAAATGTTCTTTCTTGCTTCCTCGTTGTCTACGTTTTTTTGGAGGATTCTTTTACATATTGAAGTAACGTACGTGTTTATTTTATAAGGCTTTGCTAGTTCTCTGTTCGATAAGCAGTCTTGAAAGGTTATTAGTAAGGGGAGTTTTTAACGCTTTTTACCTTATATCAATACAGTGAATGTTTTTAGTTAAAAAACATTCGGAAGAAGGGAATCTGCGTTTGCTGCCTCTGGATACTGCTGTGGTGTCTCAATCTGCTATCAAGGTGAGGCAGTATAGTTTTGCACTGACTAATGTAGTTAGCTAGTCGTTCAATACGAAAACGATTTTTTTAAGTTAAATTTATAAAGCCTGTTCAAGGCTCGATATGGCATAGGAGAAGTTGAAGTCAGAAAGCATTTTAACTTGAAAAGAAGGGCGAAGTCATCTACGCTAAAGGCTGACCTTTTAAAAGGTATGGAAAGAGCATCTTGCAGTTTACAGTACCCTTAGTTTGAAAGATAATTTCAATGTTTTCAGCTGCAGAACAAGGGGTAAATCCCGCAAAAAACCAAAAGAGCGGAATTATATCCTCAAGTTTTCCTATAAGGATTAGAAGCACAGCACGGAAGCCAAACAATGATTGTATGTTAGTTAAGTTTTTATAGGGCGTGTTGCGAGACGTCACTTGTTTTTTCTTCCCTTATAAACACGACGTAGTATTTAGTGCCTATGCGAGGGATTCCTACCGTCAATACTTGTAAACTGTCTGGTGGCTTTACCAACGAACCTCGAAAGTTTCAAAGGCAGTTAGCAAAACGTGAAGGTGGTGCCAAGTTGATTGATATAGCAGAAATACCGCACGCTTTAAAAAAACGGAAGAGGGAGCAAGAAGCAGAAGAAAAGGCAAGATTAAAACAAGAAAGGGAAGAAACCAAAAAAAGGTTATTGGCAGAGAAAGCTGAAAAGGTCACTTTTAAGCCTGGTTGCGTCTTATTATGTTAGTCAAAACTTTATTAGCTTGTATCTACCTTTTGCTAAACTGCCTTTCCTTTCACGATTGCTTTCAATATGCACTTCTTCTTTTGTTCTCTCTTTGGCCACATTCTGCTTCTTAAATTATTCCAACTTTTGTAGGAGGCTCGTCGAGTGGCGAATTTAAAAACTCGCGCCTCGGGAGCTCCAAGTACTTCGAGCCCTGTTTCTTTAACAACTAGTACTGTCAATAGTACCGCAAAGCCCTCTTCCCCATCTTCCTCTTTGGCTTCTTCAACGGCCCCTTCGACTTCTGGACGTATACAACAGGAGGAGGTCGCAGAAAAAGATTTGCCGGTTGTTCAGGAGAAGCCTTCTTATGCCGATGTACGAGAACGGCCAACTATGGGTTATACTGAAAATGTGTCTACAATTGCTCAAACTATTTCGCGAGTAAGTTTCTTCATATGTTTCTCGTCCATTGGCGTCTTTTTACAAGATCTCCTTTTTCGTTAAATAAGAAGTCGTTACGTTAGATGTTTAAGAATGCAAAAGCTGTAGGTCCCACAATTATTTTTCGTCAGTAATTGTGTTTTTCCCATTAATTGCTTTCAAGTACGACTTTCATGGGGATAGGACCGCCTTTTGAGATTTGTGAAGAGCGGGTTAAAACTGTTAGTATCAAACCAGCCAGGCATAAAAATAAATTTGTTGCTGCCTAGTCTATACAGAAATCATTATTTAAGCAACTGGAGCAGCGCGAGTTAACTAGTCGACGTCAGTGCGACGAACTTTTGAGTTCGGCTAACGCGTTAGATGCCCAAGGCCGTCGAATGGTCACAGCGTTTATGGCTGGAAATAAAGGTTTGTAAAATTTTATTTTTTTTTTTGTGGAGGTGAGGTAAAGCACAAATTATTCAAAGTATTCTTCAGTCAGAATAGTATGAGTTTAGAACTAAAAGATTTAGTTTGTTTCGAGAAGAGTTAGAAATTCGAGAAGTGCAGGTACTTAGTAATGCTTAGTTCCTCTTATAAAAGGGTTCGCGGAAATTCTATTTTTTTATTCAGGTTACAAGATTTTTTAAAACTTGCTCTTTGACTTGGTGGGTCTCTGTGACTTGTACTCATTTTACTGCCAAGTTTGAAAAACAACTCGCTTTTATTACAGTACTGTCACAGACCGTTTCTCATTTCAAATAAGTGTCTACAAAAAATTGGTGGTTGTGTAAGTCGTGTTCGCGTGGCATCAGGAATTCAGAGGAACAAAAATTTTCTTCATAACTAACCTTCTATTCATCATTGTCGCGCTAATCTGTCGTAGTACAGCGGCTCTGATTAAGAGATACAGAAGGATGTGACGGAAAAGTTGTGTGTGGCAAGAGTAAGAGGTTGACCTGTGATAAGACTACCTTCAAAGATCTGTAGCAGTAAGAGATTGTCATGAGCGTAACAGATACCTCATACAGTCTAATTGCAGCCTTAATTTAAACTAGTACTGGCGCAAAACGACCAAAATGGCGGACTTTTTAATGAAATGTGTTACTAAGAGGTTGCACTTGACATGTCAACAAAAAGTAGTTGAAGTCTTGTATTACTCCATCATTTTTCGGTGGTTTATAGAGCAGCACAAAATTATCAACTTTGAAAATATGAAATGAGGTTTTTTCACTAAAAATACATGTTGAGTATTTTACGCCGCTATAATAATACTTTCTTATTGAGGGTTTCGGCAGAGTATGTTTTGGAAACAGCGCATATCGTGGTCGTGGACAAAAAGCGGTTTTTGGAAATTGCGCTATTGTTTATTGAAAGAAAACCATACGAATAGTTGGTGTAGGCGGAGCAATACATGTTATTTATCTTTTCTTTTTCACCACTTAAGTCACATTTTCGCTAAAAACCGAAATTGTTTGGAAATTCGAGTGTCTTGAGCTATAAAATATTAAAGAACGTAGTAATTTCGCGTACTAACTTGTTAACATTTCCGGTAAAACAAGGCAAATAGGCTTCGAGGGCGTACTCTTTACTTTTAATTTTTTATGTGGTTTCGCTCTGCGACATTCTCAAAGTCACTTTGTTTTTACACTGTAAGGGAATCTTGAGAAAAAGTTGTGTTTCCAGCTCATCCTTTCCCCCAAATGGGTGACATTGTTACATTGAAGTTGTCGGAAACTTATGAAGATGAAATCAAGCCAGATGGGACCTGCCAACGGCATCGAGTTGAAACATACTTTCAGGTTCTTCTTTTTTTTCTTGTTTAAAACTACTGCCATTGTTCAGTTTGCAGTTATATGTTGTAAAGTTCTAAAAAAACTTTTTAAAGATGGACTATCGTACTGGAGAGTGGAAACGACTTCGTAAAACAAAAGCCTTACGTCCGGAAGAAATGACTAGCATATTTGGGCAGTTTGCGGAGATCCCAGTGGGACTATCTCAAGCACAGAGGTCTTTTAGCTGAAATGTAACGTAAGTTACCGATCAGACAACATTTTTTTCTAATTCTGAATACGACATCTGCATTTATTGTTTAGAAATTTCATCTGTGAAGCTTTCAAGAGTTTTTTCCTGAGAAGTGCGATTTTTTATAAAGAATTTTGTTTGAACGCTGCTGGACTTGTCTTATAGGCTCTATGGAGCATAAAATGTTAGGGTCATTTGTAAACAGGATATATAAATGTTTATTTCACATAAGTCCTACCTGTATTCACGAGAGATTTGTTCAGTAAAATTCGTGAGAATTTTTTATTATGATTACTTCTTTATCATTGTATTTCGTCATGACGATTTTTTCACTAGCCGGATGTATCGGGCTTCAGATTGAAACCTTTGTTGTTTCCTCCAAATTCCGGTGCTTCATCGAATTTTTTAATTTTGATTGCTGTAATATATTTCCTTCGTGAAAGTCTTCGGTTTTTTAAACCGCTTTCACATTTGCGTTTTTCTTCTTTAAGAATTTCCTCTGATATTTGTTGAGTAGGTGAATTATTTACGAAGGTACTGTAGTCAAGAAATTCGTAGTGGATTTCAATTCTTGCTCTTACGGATTTTATCTTTGGAAGACTATGAGTCGTTTCTTCGTTGTAATCATTTTATTGCTTTTCATTACGACTTAACTTTTCCTCTACAATTGGGATTTTATTATAGTGCGTTCTTTGGATGCTTTGAACAGGTGGAACTTTTCATAGTCGTGTTAATTTATTTTTGATGTTTTTTACGCGTTCGTTGTCTTATTAGGGCTCATGAGTTTTTTCTGTCGTATTTTGTTGTCATGTAGCGACATTTTTACATTCAAACTTCTTTGGTGAGTTTTATAAGAAGAAATCAAAAGTCATGGTCTCATTTGCCTTTTAAAATCTTCTCAGGTTGCTGTGAAATATTGAAGTATGAAGTATTTTTTATGCTTCTCGCAGCAGTTTATGTAATTTTTATTCGTTTGTTACTTAGATCCTCAGCCTGTAATCATTGGAAAAGCTTGATTACCACGGAACAACTAGAAATGCAAAGTAATATTTATTTGCACCAGATAAATTACTTATTGTCGTTTGCTTTGGATTTAATGATTAAAGCTTGAGGCAAAAAAAAAAAAAATACTTCTATTTTTTCAAGTTGCGTTGTAAACATAAATTTCCTTAAGTGGATCGGTGGGATTACAAGGAGTAACTTTCCGACTGACCGCACATGTAATTTAGATGTTGCATCATAGTGTTGTCGCTGTCACGTGTGATGGTGTCAGTTCTTCAGGGAAAGATTTCCAGCTTTTTAGCCATAAAACTGTTTCAAAAGCTGTTCGAGATTCAATAATTGGCGTTGTCTGTTTTTATAACTTTCAAAAAGACAATCATTAATAATTTTCCATGTAGTTAGGAAGTGTATTCTTAAATTTACTTCTTTCCTCGGGTGTACTAGCTGTGAAAAACTGCAATGCACGCTTTGTTGTTGGGAATAGTGAGTTTTTAACTGTAAATAACATGTCAGAAAGACGTATAAATAGCACATTGTATGAAAAGAACAGCTTGAGGGAAGGAGTTGGAGACGTGTTGTACCATCATTGATGCTAAACGGCAGTTGTTAGAAATTGAATACTAGGTTTTATGCGTATTTGGTTTCTCCCGAATGAGATGCACAGTATTTGCAAACAAAATCACTGAAAAGCTGCTTCTGGATTATCTTTTTCTAATAATAGTGATGATAGCAGTATTAATGACCCCGATGCGACTGTTACAACAGGTGCCAGGGCGAATTTTGCCGTCAGAAATGTCGCTTCAGTCTCTGGTTTGTCGTACAGGGAAATAATATTGATTCTCTTGTGTTGGAAGTGACCATAGACGGACAGAGGGAAAATCAGACTGCTGAGTAACTGAAGCTGTAGCTTGTGAACATACTTCTCCTAGCTTTTTGTATTTCAAGGCTGTACTTACACGTTAAGTGTAATATAACCAGACAAATTTTTGAGGAACACATAGGACGATGTCGCAAACAGTTTCCTTATTTTGTTTTTATGATTATCAAAGCAGCCTATTGAGTACTTGCAAGAAGTATAAAAAATAAGATTTTCTATGTTTTGAGCAGCTATTTAAAAAAAGGAGCATTAGAGTCATTAAAATACTTATATGGTGTTTATGGACAGACTATTAACGCCAGCAGCGAAATGGAAGGATAGGTGCGTTTCAGTTGCTGAATATAGAAGTTTCGTAACTGACGCACCAGTAATTCCATTTTTAGCGAATACGCAGTTGTGTATTAGGTGCTTGAGACTGTTCTTGACGACAGGAACTAGAAGTTGTTGGTATTAGTACTCAGAAAAAAAGCTAACTTGCAGTCATAAATATTTGTACAGTTATATGATTTTGCCAAGTTTAGCAGAGAACGCTTAAAATTTTCAGATACCACTTTGAGCAGCCAAAGCAGTTTTGATTTCGAGCAAGTACAACAACGTGCTCCAAATCCATGCAGTGAGGCAATACTTTTATTTCATTTCGGTCACCTCTAGAAAATCAAACTCGAAGTCTACAGGTTGCTTGTTAGCGGATGAGTCTCCCTAAGTTTCATATTGTAAACCTTATCACTCCCTGCACTGCTATCTGTTTGACGCTCGGCATGAAACCACAGATCAACTACTCCAGCACCTAAGCAAACACTGAGCCCAGCCCACTCCGAAAGCGCAGCCAGTCAGAGTGTGACAAGGCAGTGCATCGCGTATGCACCTTAATCTGTACAAGTACCCACCCATCTCTCCTTTATTTCATATTTTGTTTTGCAGTTGTGTACATTTAGCAAACTTTAAGTTCCGTCGTTTTATACTTTATTTTTTTTTATTTTATCTTGCTTATTTATTTAAATGGAATTTTACTCCTTGAAACATCTAAACTTTGTGCTTCATACTGCGCAGATGATTGATCGCATAATGTTGGTACAAGTCATCATAAGCTCGTGGTGGGGAAAACGTGAGGCTATTACATTGTCGAGGTTGAGATGACCAGTGCTTATACGTAGCCTGCAACCTCTTTGATTGGTCGAGACCTTTTAAAGGGCAAGACAACCGACTTGTTTTTCTCTGCTGGGCATTGTATATACAAATAAATTTGCCAGATTATTTGAACATCATGAAAACCACTTGCTTTCTACTTATCGTTACAGTTTCCTAAAGTTTCAATAATCGAGAACCCTTAAGACAGCTTCCTAGTTATGAGGACAAGTTGATATGAATAAAAAGGGCTTCATTAGTGCGACAACTGCAAAGAGTGCAAAACTCAACATCAAATTTATTATAAGTTGATGCAGAAGAAGAAAGAAAATTCCTAGATAACACAAGGGTTAGGCAATATGCGGCAAACTTTTTCCAATAAAGTTACATTGCTCATAAGCTACTTATCACATACAAGTTGGACCACTTACCACCGCAGGTTTTTTTGGAAGCTGAAAAATTTACTGTTAATTTACCACTTTAAGAAGTTTCTATGGCATTATGAAGTTTCGGAGTCGTCAAGACATCATCGAATGGCAACAAGCCATAAACTTTAAAAAGGATTCATTTGAAAAGAACCAAAAAGATAGATCGTAACATTTAGTGCCGTCAGCTGACCCTGGCTGCTCAAATTTTGGCTTCCACTAGAGCGTAGCTAGACGGTAGGAACAGTAGTCTTCCATTCTTTTACAAACTCCTTCCTGTAAACTGCCAGCGCGAGCATCCCTCGATTTCCCATTCCTTTCTCGGATCTTTGTTAAATATCATAATTTTTCATCCTGAGAACTGTTCCTTAATACTTATTGCTTTTTGATGACTCGAGGACTAATGAAACCAAGAACGTTCATGCACCCCAGCAGATGTATAAAGTTATTACGGTGATTGCATTTTTCCCCAAAGGATGCGTCGCGTAAAAGTGTTTGCAATGGTTGAACTGGGTTTTCTTCTCCAACATCCCGTCGCTTCCCGCCGCGAATGAAATATTGCTTTTGGGGAGATGCCAGAAAGACTAGATTCCAACGATCGCTACCCGGAATCATTTTTTATCGAATATTGGGAAGGTTGAGCAATGTAGAATTTAAGGTCTCTCAACGCCATACAGGGTGATCGCTATATCACTTTGAGTTTGAAATAAAAAAGGAACGGTAACTTGCAATAGGTTTTGAAGAAGACCGATTTGGTTTAAAAAGTCGCTTTGTAATTAGTTGAACGGTTTGTTTTGGAGAAGATAAATGTGACTGCTTAGTGGGCTCTTGTGCTGGGCTGCGTTTTTTCCTGTTTCTGACGTTGATATACAATTATATTTCTATGCCATTAAATACTAGTTCTTTGCTTGATAGGATACATACTTGGTTTTTCTTAGTAGAATTTCTGTTCGCTTTTAAGTTTCAGAACCTTTAAGTGTTTGAAAGGATTTGTGGTGTATAGCTCGAATTTACCCAGTACTTCCTGGAGTCTGCATAAAAGCTCCCTTCAAATTCAAAACTACAAAAAGAAAGCTTTTAAGTAGTGTTTAAGGGAAGACAATTTGTTTCCACAAATCGGTCAGTGACTGCTTCTGCTATGGCACTTTGTAAAAGATAAAATTTTACCTTTTATGTATTTGGTGATGTTCGCCATGGGAGCACAGTTACACAAGCAGGGAACAAAGAGCTCTGAGTGTCGCTTGAGATTTTGAAAAAGGAGCGTATTCATCCCCACTTAGTTACCTTTGTAACAGAACATTTACTAACTGATTTATTGTATCGGTTTTTCTGAAAAATTAGAGTTAATTTTTATTTTTTTTGTTTGGATTTTTGTCATGAGCAGAATTGTTTCAAATAAAATTTATGTTTTTACTTGAGCAGCCAAAAAAAATCACTAAGATGGAAATATACTTGCGTTCTTGTCAGATATCCAAAAAGCATTGCTCAATTCAAGATATCGTGAAGTACTTCATTTTAACCGATTTGGGTTAGAGTTTCCAGGCAGCTACGAATTGGTTTTCGAGTCAG